GATGGCCTACAACCTAAGAGCGATGGCCTACAACCTAAGAGCGATGGGCTACAACCTAAGAGGGATGGCCTACAACCTAAGAGCGATGGCCTACAACCTAAGAGCAATGGCCTACAACCTAAGAGCGATGGCCTCCAACCTAAGAGTGATGGCTAACAACCTGAGAGCGATGGCCTACAACCTAAGAGCGATGGCCTACAACCTCAGAGCGATGGCCTACAACCTAAGAGCGATGGCCTACAACCTAAGGGCGTTGGCTTGCAACCAGAGTGATGGCCTACAACCTAAGAGCGATGGCCTACAACCTAAGAGCGATGGCCTACAACCTAAGAGCGATGGCCTACAACCTAAGAGCGGTGGCCTACAACCCAAGAGCGATGGCGAGCGATGGCCTACAACCTAAGAGCTGAGGCCATCAAACCTACTAGTGATGACCTGCAACCTACTAGTGATGGCCTCCAACCCAAAAGCGATGGCCTCCAACCCAAGAGCGATGGCCTACAACCTAGAAGCGATGGCCTCCAACCTAAGAGCGATGGCTTCCAACCTAGGAGCCATGGCCTACAACCTCAGAGCGATGGCCTCCAACCCAAGAGCGATGGCCTCAAACCTACTAGTGATGGCCTCCAACCCAAGAGCGATGGCCTCCAACCTAAGAGCGATGGCCTCCAACCTAAGACAATGTCCTCCAACCCAAGAGCAATGGCCTCCAACCTAAGAGCGATGGCCTCCAACCTAAGAGCGATGGTCTCCAACCTAAGAGCGATGGCCTCCAACCAAAGAGCGATGGCCTCCAACCCAAGAGCGATGGCCTCCAACCTAAGAACGATGACCTCCTTCTAGCGATGGCCTCCAACCTAAGAGTGATGGTCTCCTTGTGCCAGGCTGTTGCCTTCCTCTCTGAACGTTCTGCCGACTTGGCGCAGGGCGGCGCGGCCAGCGAGGTCGGTGTTGTTTGCTGGGAAGGGACTCAAAAGCTTATTGGAAGATATTTGAAGGACTCTCATGTGCCACTATGAGAAGTGCATGGATTGGAACAGAGATTGACGTCCCCCCCGTCCAAATCTTGAAACTTCCTCTTTGCAGGAATATGGCCCGAAAATCGAACAGTCATTGGCCGAGGCCAAAAAGCCACAGCGCATTCTTTTTGAAAGCTCGCAGTTTGCTTTGAGTTTTCAAGGTTGAGACTCTTGTGAAGACGAACCTTGGAGCAATGGCCTCCAACCCAAGAGCGATGGCCTCCAACCTACTAGTGATGGCCTCCAACCTAAGAGCGATGGCCTCCAACCTAAGACAATGTCCTCCAACCCAAGAGCAATGGCCTCCAACCTAAGCGCGTTGGCCTCCAACCTACTAGCAATGGCCTCCAACCTAATATAGCGATGGCCTCCAACCTAATATAGCGAGGGCCTCCAACCTAATATAGCGATGGCCTCCAACCTAATATAGCGATGGCCTCCAACCTAAGAGCAATGTCCTCCAACCCAAACGCGATGGCCTCCAACCTACTAGCGATGGCCTCGAACCTAAGAGGGATGGCCTCCAACCTACTAGCGATGGCCTCCAACCTAAGAGGGATGGCCTCCAACCTAAGAGCGATGGTCTCCTCTCTGAATGTGCCAGGGTGGTGCCTTTCTCTCTGAACGTTCTGCCGACTTGGCGCAGGGCGGCGCGGCCAGCGAGGTCGGCGTTGTTTGCTGGGAAGGGACTCAAAAGCTTATTGGAAGATATTTGAAGGACTCTCATATGCCACTATGAGAAGTGCATGGATTGGAACAGAGATTGACGTCCTCCCCGTCCAAGTCTTGAAACTTCCTCTTTGCAGGAATATGGCCCGAAAATTGAACAGTCATTGGCCGAGGCCAAAAAGCCACAGCGCATTCTTTTTGAAAGCTAGCAGTTTGCTTTGAGTTTTCAAGGTTGAGACTCTCTGGAAGACCATGGTGAAGTTGGAGGTCTCACTAATCAATCCACATATCTCCACACTTGTACAGATAGTTCACAAAGCTTCTACATGTGTGTATTGCATTGGAGTCACTGACAGTGACTATCGGATGCCAGAACCTCCTCTCCTCTCGTTCAACACAGAGATTGGTCTTATTGGCTTCTTCCAAGCGGTACTTGGTGTCTCGTCTACAAAGTTGTTTGTCCAGACTTCTTCAAGGGATTTTTGGAGAAACAGAACACAACATACGGTTTCGGTAACCGTACTCTGATTTAGGGATGTGGGACAAAAGCGCGCAGATGCATTGAGGATAGAACGGCCAAGCGTGTGGAGATGGCCCAGTCACAGCAATGGACTCGATTTCAGAGTTTCCGCAGCGGGGGAGAGCATGGGAGAGGCCATTGCTATTAGGTTGGAGGCCATCGCTAGTAAAATGGAGGCCATCGCTCTTAGGTTGGAGGCCATTGTTTTCAGTTTTTGTGGATGGTGACTTAACAGGATTTTGGTTGAGGTGTGGCAAGTCTGCGTCGCGAAAAGCCGAATTGGAGAAGGCACGATTTGCACGAAGCACGGAGCACCAATGGCATGTCATGCGAGGGGGAACGTGCGCGGGACGTGCGGTCAAGACGGTCATTCGACGGGCATTGGAGGGTATGATTTTCATTCGATAGCGATGACCTACCTAAGAGCAAACCACATAGACTATATACATCTATATACTATATACTATAGACCTTTCTTTCTTTCTTTTCATTCGATCGCTTCGAGGTGAAGGCGGAGCAACTTTTGGAGGTCAAGCGAAGTCGAGCTGAAACGAAACAGTTTGGGAGGCCCAGACCGCCCAATGCAGACCAAACGCCGGTTGAAGACGTGGAAGAGATGAGAGCGGTGACCTCCCAACCTACAAGCGATGGCCTCCAACCTCATGGAGGGCTGCCAGCCGCCTTACAGTCATGACGTCACTATAGTAACAAGTCTATATCGACAGGTCACCACTATATACTCGTTTGGAAGAAGAAGGCCGAGAAAGCATGAGAAAGCAAGAGCACTTCCAACGGACTCTGTGCTCTATATACATGGTGTGCACATGGGGCCTTTTTTCATGTCTCACTGATTGATGGACCGGCACATCAAGGCATTCCCACCGTGTCTGTGGGTGTCTCTGGGCAGCTTGAGATGGCACTGAGGCTCCAGTCTGTGATCAGGGAGGTGAAGGAGGATCTGGAGGTGCTGTCGCAGTTGCTGTCTTGTCGGTTTCAGATGTTTCAGCCCTCGTGTTGCTGTCGCAGGCTGAGTTGACGGCACACTTCAAGCGGGGTGGCCGAGCACCATCCTTCAGGTAGGGTGATTTGGAGGCTGCAAGCAATGTCACTTGAGATTTGGAAGCACTAGTAGCAAGTGCATCGCTACTAGTAACAAGTGCCTTACTAGTAGTAACAAGAAGCTACTAGGAACAAGTGCATCGCTACTAGTCAGATTGAAGGAGAGGTTGAGCTCCGCCCAGGTCAAACGTGCGGATTCTCAACACAGCCTGAAAAAGGCGTGCGTGCTGCGCTGGCTGGATTTTCAGACCAAGCATCTCCACCAAGTTTGGATAATTCTGCTGCCCTTCATGTCAAAGGCACTTGCTGCTTCCTGGTTCAAAGACATGCTGCCCGCTTCGTTCTAGCCGGACCAAAAAACACCGAAGTAAGTATCAAGATGCAGACATAGCTCATGGATGAGTAACAGCAGCCGCAGCAGCCCACCATTATCGTGGTGTAATCCAAGTCTCAAAGAAGCTACTAGTAACAAGTGCATCTCTACTAGTAACAAGTGCATCGCTACTAGTAACAAGTGCATTGCTACTAGTAACAAGTGTATACTCGTGGTGTAATCCATTGAGCTCAATATTCATTCATAGTAGCTTCTTGCTACTAGTAGCAATGCACTGCCAGTGAGCAAGATGGGATGCTGTGTTTTTGCACGGTCCAAGTGTTGTTGTCAGTAGCACTGTAGTAAGTGGGTCGACTCCAAGTACCGAGCCTTCAAATCGGGATCAACTGCTCAGATAGTGATTTTGTAAAGGCCAAGAAGAAGTCAACTTGGGCAGCTCAATGACCAAAAAGGTTTGGAAAACATTTTACTAGTACTAGGAGCAAGGACGCTACTAGGGGCGGCCATACTACTAGGAGCA